ATATATATAATTATTTTTTAGAGTTTATGAATATTGACCGAGTCTAATAAGGTGAGATTTATGGTGATTATTTATCATGTGAAATTAAAAAAAAAATGAGGAAATTTGGGTGGGTCTGTTATTTTCTTTATATTTAGGGCCATTTGGTCAAAGTCAAATAAAGTACTTCGCATGGAATTATTGAGCCGGAATTCCTTCCTTATCTTATCGATCAAAAATGTGGAAGACTTGCAAAATACAATAAAGACTTATTTATATCTCATTAATATTTCTAATATCAGTTTTGAAAGATATATTTTATGTCCGATTCTGAATTTTGATTTTTTCTAGCTAGATTCATGTTGCCTCGAACATCTCGTGTTCAGCTAAGTTAACGAGCCGAACACGAACAAAACAAACCAATATTTATTCATTCGCGTTCGGCTCGTTTATATAATTAGTAGTATTTTAAAAAAAATTAATTGACTACAAGGATACAAAGATTTATAATAAATTAAAAGTATTAATTAATAAAAAAAAATAAAAATTATTAAATTAGAATCAAATAATGTCTAAAATCTTGCCCCAATTCTTAATATCTTATGGCTGAATGACTAGTGTTGTCAAAACGACTCTTTGTTCGTGAACGGCTCGTGTTCAGTTTGCTAAGAAAACCAACTGAACACGACACACTTTTTGAGCTCGAAATATAAACGAGCCTAACACGAGCTGAGCCTGGGTTTGCTCGTGTTCGGCTCGTTTCCACCCCTATGTTGCGTAAGTGTTAAGATGTTGCCTAAGTGTTAAGATATTCTTTTATAGTGATAATTACATAAAAATCATATGAAACATTAATATTTATAAATAAAACACTCCAATAAAAATGAAAAAAAAATAGGTTGGATTTTTAGCATGAATTTTAATATTTGAGGGAGAATTTGAAAAATGGATTAAAGAAAGTGATTGGTTTGTAAATTGCAAGCTTTTATGCATTTGTGTCCTTCATTTAATAAAAATATAAATATAATTTTAATTAAATATTTATTTATAATAATAAAATAAAATTAATCAGATAATTTTTAATAATACAAAAATGTAAAATAAATGCATTAAATTCTTAACGCATGAAAAATGTGAATGTGGAAGGAGCACGCATAGACCATCGCTTAGGCTTATAATTTAAATAGAAATATATTTTGATTATTAATTTGTCTTTACTTGAAAATAGGTTACATGTAAGAAAAATACAAGTACTCTACGTAACCAAGATATAAAATATCAATATAATTATTGCATTAATCTATGCAATAATTAAATATCTATTTGAATTTAATTAATTGTTTAAAAAAACTAAATATTCCATACCATATTGTATATGCATGATTTGCAAGTAAGAATAAGTGGCAACTAAGGGTGTAAGTGAGTCTAGTCGAGCTCGAGACATCATCAGCCTGAGCTTGAATTTGATTAAATTAATTGAGTTCAAGCCGACACACGAGCTTCACTAGCTATCTTCGAAGAACTTGCTCTGATTATGGCAATAGTGGCGAATACAATGGAGCAAAGGAGGAAAATGAGAAGGATGAGCCTGAAGATGGAGGAGAGATGACTATTAGTGTGGCTTGGCTTGTTACTGAGGAAGGCCAAGGTAAGACCCGTAGAGTTTAGGGTTTATGAGGAAGGTTGAGGAGCTGAAGCAGCTGAACTAGCTAGTCACTAGAACACGAGACAGATGGGAGAGTTTATTGGAGTAGAATTCAACGACTGTGAGGCTTTGCATCAAGGAGATGGATTGGGTGGTTTCTAGAGAGGTTTACGTGTATTTTGGATAATTGTCAACAACTGACTAATCGTCAGCGGGACATTGTCAAAGAAGAGATTTTAGTGGGCAGAGAAATGACTGAAGATAACACAAAATAGCTAACAATGTAACAGAGTGGTAGAATCTAGTACTTCATGAATCTTTAGGCAGCATGTAAGTAAATTTAAAGTTTAAAGTATTGTATAATATAAGTTATTTCTGGTAATATGTATATAAATCCTCACTAAAGAGTAGGGTCAAGGCTGTCTTGGGCTTCACATATTAGTTCATCAAGCTCAGCCCAACACTAGCCGCTTATGAGGCCTAGCCTGGCATGACTAACTTACACCCAAGTGGCATACATCCATGTAGGGCTAATTGTACCGTTGCCTAAATGGGCTAGAGTTTGGGCCCAGCAAAAAAGAAGTTTTGTATAAATCTAAGCCCACGGAAACCGGCGCATATTGAGTACTAGGGTTTCCTCCCGAATTCCGATTGCTATGAGAAACCCAAGGGTCCCCTATAAAAACCCCAGCATCTTTCAGCCAAAAGATCTCAATCTTCCTCTATTCGCCGTCTCCTTCGCCGTTCCCCTCAATTTCTATCTTATCTTCTGTCTGCACAGCTTGCTTCTTAAAGCTCTGCAGCGAGATCCAACATGATACGTCGCCGGTTTCTTTTTTTTTTTCCGTTGGTGCCATCATGATCGATTGATTTCGGTAACGATTCCCGGTTTGCGGTATGCGAAGCCCTTCGCTTCCTTTCTGTTCTCTTATCTTTTCGTGTTGTGATTATTATTTTACTTTGATTTTCTCGACGATCATTATGATGCGTTTGATAATGGCTTTCTGATTTCTTCGCGGTGTTTTGTTTGAATTTCTGTTTGGCCGATGAGGATGAAATCAAGGCTTGTTTCTCAAACATTCGCAGTGGCCGCCTGAGAGCTTTCGCCCTGCCAGGCTTGAGAGCTCATGCTGCTTTGCAATTCCTTCCTTGGATGTCTGAGGCCACTATAATTTGCGTTGCTTATTTTTTATTTGTTATAATTTGTGATAAAATAAAACTTAAAAGTAAAAGAGAGTAACTCTGTTCTCGTTTTAAATGTGCATATGTCACATTAAACGGTTACATCTTATGATCCGATTAGTAAGGCAGAGAAAGATCTAGGAAGATTTGGGCTTATTGTATACTCTACTTGGAACTAAATGAAAATATGACACTAAATAGGACGTAATGGAGAAAAAAGATTCATGTTGCCGATAACATGTAGTGGGATTAAGGCTTTGTTGTTGTTGTTGTTTTAAATGTGCATATCATGTTTATATAATTTTTATTAAGTGATTGAAAGATATAATCTGTAGCATGGTCAGTATAAGTTTGATTATGGTGTATTTATCAGATTATAATGGATTTAAGCTTTTCATCTGAATGCTTAATACCAATTTGGTAGCAGAATATAAGCTCAATTTGACATTAATCACGCCAAACACAGAAAAAATGGCACCATAAATCCTAAACATCTCAGATCACATTTCTCTTCTGTCAATTGTTTTCCATCAAGATCACATTCTTCTGCATCACTCAAATCTTTGATTTTATATTATTGAAATAAGCCCAAATCTTTAAAACATCTCAGATCACATTTATGAAAATATTTAAAATTTTAAATTTCGCCATGTAAATATTATAATTAATGAAAATAATTTACTCTGATAAAATGATTAATTTTGAACTAAAAAACTCCAAAATATACATTAATCAAGTAAAAGCACGTACATATAACTTGAAATTTTACTATTTACTAAACTCGCATCCTTTTTAATCATAATTTTAAGTTCTCACATAAATATCAAAATTCGCCATTAAAACTATAATTTTCATTTTTGTCAAATTTTTAATGGCTTGATATAACAGTGTAATTCCAACCATTAAGTATACCAAAAAATGATTAATTATCTCTAATTAGAAATTAGTGTTTGAGATTAATTAGATGTTTTGTATTCATCTCCAGTTATGTTTTGAAAAGCTTGGAAAGATATTGATAAAGTATAATTTCAAAATTATGATTTCATTAATGTAGTTATAATTAAAACATGTTCAAATTTTATCCAATTTAGCAGCTTATAAGTGCGGATGGTGTTTTCAAAACGCCGTTGTACTGTTTAGTTCGTGCGTTTCATCAATTTATTTGAAATTTCGTTTGAGTTTTTACACTAAAGGGAGGTCAATTGACTGCTGCGGTCGGCCTTTGAGCCGCTGTTTCTTATATTCACAAACTGCCTCAAATGGACCCCTAATTAACTTAAATCCTAAGATAAATAATCAAATATTTTCAGGATTTAAATGTCTTAAGATTCATTAAATTGAAATTTATTAGATTTAAGAAGTACTACTTGCAAAGAAGCAATCTATTAGCATTGTGATTAATTTTGATGGTAACCTTCAAATACTATAAATTTTGTTTGTCTAGGAAGATTATAAAATGGTGGGTTGTAGATCAAAAAGAATTGGGGATATATGTGCTTGGATTAATAGATTCGCTTTTGTTACAATAAATATGTTATCATTTGGTGCCAGTTTTTGGGTATCTCTCTCAATTTTCATGATAATAGATGGTATGATCTCTCATGTATAATGCATTAATAGTTGCCTCTCATTATTTGTTTAAAATTTATAGTTGGTTTGTATCCAAGGCGCTTTAAAAACTAGTTTTTTTTGAATGAATAAGAACACATTCCATAAGAAAACAGAGACATTGTTTTACATATTTAAGACACATTGCTTTGCATGTTTTGCATGAAATGTTATTTCTTTCACTTGATTTGTGCTTTTTAATTTTTGATGCTGAGGTTATCAGTGAACAGTGCTTATTCTTTAATCTACAAAAACAGCCACAAATAACAGCGTTATATCTTACAGGTTCATCTATCACAAATCACAATTATCCCATTACAAGTAAAAACGAACTACATTTCATATACTGAACTTTCAACTCCCATTTGATGCATATAGTTAAGGCCACAAAAATGAAAAAAAAAAATGATAGGAAAGTCATTGTTTCTTCAAATAATTAAGCAACATACTTAAAATAGGGTTCCTGCTAAATATGTTCTACTCATATTTCTTTTAGAAACGATTTGGTCTGAGATTTTTCATTTATTCAAAAGGAATCCTGCAAATCAGTTATTTTTGAAATGCACAAACAAATAATCAAGCAACATACTTAAAATAGGGGCAGAATGATCATTAAGTTAAAATAAGCTGTTTTTTAAATGTATAAATTAAATCGTCAGTTAGTTTATTCAGATCAGTTGGTCATCAACATATTATTAGGATAAATTGCTTATTAATATAAGCTGGATAAGCTGTAACTGTCCCAAATAGATCCATAAATAATTATTTATCGTACATCATTGTTATATATATATATATATAATATATATAGTATTTTAACCCCAAGGGTCTTAGCTCACCCAGGTAGGCAAATTGCCAATTCTCTTTAAATCTGTGTTTTCTTCTTGATTTGTGTGGCTTCTTGCACTTTCTTTGTTCTATTTTTTCAACACAACAAAACTAGATGAACAACTAATGAGAAATTAAAGAGCAGCCTACACAGAGCACGAAGATGATGAATTGCCATGAGTCACACATGAAAGCAAGCTCAAATCAAAGGAGAAAAAAACTTCAGTTAGTTAGAAAAAACATTTGAAGCTGACAAATATCCATGTTGAAAGAGTAATGCTAAACTTCCAAAAAATGGGATAATTGGTTGAGCTCTTGTTCTTGCCGATTGATTTTCTGGCTTTGGCTGAGCTAGGAGGGAGATTTATGGTTACTTGAAAGTCAAGCCTTGTTAATTTGTACAATATTGACCCGACATGGTATATGAATAGACTAGTTTATTTGTACAATATTAACCCGACATGGTATATGCCCAACTCATTCGTCGGGTTATCATAATGATTTATGGTTGGTTGAAAATCATGCTTTTGTGGGGCCATTTTTTGATTAAATAAATTTATTAAATTCAATTCCTAGATATTCAGTACCACCAATTTTTGAAGTGCGATCACTCTTTTGGTATTGTGGAAATACAAACATGATTTTGATCTTTCATGTCTTTTTACAATGAAAAGTTGTTTACGAACACTAGGGGTGTAAATGAGTCGAACACGAGCGAGCCTAGGCCTAGCTCGTGTTCGGCTCGAAATAGTTATAATGACACCCTAATCATTTAGTCATAAGATGACAAGGATTATCATAAGATTTAAAACATCATTTGAATCTAATTTAATAATTTTTATTCTATTTTTTTCGTTAATACTTTTACTTGATTATAAATTTTTGTAGCTTTGTGGTAAATTAATTTTAAAAAAATATTACTCATTTTAGATATATATATATATATATATATATATAATTGATTAGTAGTATTTCGAGCCAAAATGAGCCGAACAGGAATAAATAAATATTTGTTTGTGTTGTTCTTATTTGGCTCATTAGCTTAGCGAACATGAGCGCCTTAACACAAATGTTTTCTCCATCTAATTAAAAGCACGATGCTAGTTTTAATGTAAATCATACCATGGAAGGATTGAAAGACTAATTTCAAGTTTTTTCCTTCATAAGAAATATCCAACTAGTTTTAATGCGATCATCAACAAATAAGAAATGATTTGGCTCCATTAATAGTTCTCAATTTTGATGGTCCTCAAATGTCAATGTAGATGATAAAGAAAGAATGTGAGAGTTTGTACTAAGATAGACGATAACATAACGAATATGTTTTAGTTAATTGACAAGTTTTACATTAATAAAATTTTGACTTTTTATTAAGAAAGTGATTTGTGTACAAATTTACAACATAATGAAAATTGAGATGAAGCAGACAACAAAAAATAATAAAACTTGACTATCAAGAGGCTCGAACACAACAAACTCAAGAACATGAGAAGATGATGGTGGAGAAAACATTTGTGTATTAAGAAAACAACTCTCCTTGAGCATGTATAAATCATAGTGCAATTCAACATTGTTAATCACCTTTCCTAAATCAACTATCTCATATTCACAAGAGCTAGAATGAAATTTAGTAACTGAGTTCATGTCATGAGTAGACTTGCTAATTAAAAGTAACTTGCAATTTAGTTGGGGGAACACATAACAAGGAATAAAATTAAATGTCTTTGGAAACTTTCACTTATTTTTCAGCAATCATGAAGTGAAATCCATCAACAACTGTGATTTTTTAATAATTGACGAGAGCATAAATCTCAACGGCCATATGATCAATGGTACTCAAATTTATTATCCAAGGTCAAAATTTTCCATTATTAGCAAGATAAGAGGATGATATGATACAATGGAGTACCATCAAACTGGTGGGTTGCTCAGTCGTGCTAGTAAGCAACTTCTTGAGCACCTCCAGTTTATTATCCAAGGCCTTGTTTCTTGGTCCTTCCTCCATCATCAACGCTTTTAATATATAGGTTTTCCATGCAGTTTCCAGCACTTATCCTTTGTGTGATCAAATTTCTTAACAATATTCACACAATGGACGATCTTTCTTTGGCTGTAACTCATGGGAGGAGCTGTGTGCGTACAAAGCTCCAAATCAACGGGTTATGTAATGCTCCCAACATACTTGATGCTACTATAAAATTCATACCATCCACACTACTGCCTTAACATATATCATTTTTTGTAGTCATTCTGATCCTCAATTAAAGGTGAGTTTAATAAAAAAAAAAACTCCCAATTGCACTAAGGAATATTAGTAGAATCAAGATGGATCATCCCAATTTTAGTGATCTGTAATGATATCCAAAGAATGATTGTAACGATAGAAGATTTTGACCAAACCTTATCTAAAGATTGCCATGTATAAGATAAGATAAAAGTGATTAAGTACAAAGAATTAAAAAATAAGAAGTCAAGGCTGAATATTAATATCTTCAAATAAGCTCTAAAATTACAAGCTGATTTTATTTCCCTTGACATGCTTGAAAGCCAATCCTTAAAGAGTTAGATCAATCCTAGAAGGATTCAATACTCTTTAGGTTTCAAATCAACTTGTGCAGTCATTTGCAGCTAATTTAACCTCCCCCATAATAGACCTTTGCAATTTTATCGTTTTCTTAAAGCATCTCCTTTGCCGATAGAATTTTACAGTATGTTAACTGTTATTTATTGAATGTATGGGAATCTTTTCTTTACAAGGACCAAAAAGAATCCTTGAGATGATACCTGCATGGCTTTGCAAATCTACAAGAAGAAGGCATGCCGGCTAGGTATTAATTCAATGCAAGTCCTTCTATTGCAAAGTTTAAAGAATCAAACTAAGGCTTTCCCCATTGAGTGGGATAAAGGCTAGTTAAAGCATTGATACAGATTATGGTGCCAACTGATGGAACCACTTTTCTCCCCCTTTCAATGCATGTCCTTCGAGTGATCCGATCCCAATTAAACAACAAAGCATTATCTAAACTGCAGATGAAGTATGTTACCATCATAAAATCAATCAATTCTCCTTTTCAAGCAGAGAGTTTCGCACGTCAAGAAAATACAAGACCTACTTCCAGTGCAATAAAAATAGGATCCAAATGAACATAGATTCTCATCAAACAAAAACATAAAGAGAAAATGCTAATAAAGTTAGTCGTGATCAATAGTAAACAAAAAAAAAAAAAAAAAAGAGTCAATATATACAATGAGTCATAAAATCATTAAGAGAAGTATAGCATTAACTACAAAGCGAATCGAAATGGCGTAGAGCTGAACATCTAAAAGATTATTCAGCACCATTAATCCTGACATTCTGAAGCCCCAAAGATATTGTATCTGCAAGGTCTATCGTATGCAGAAGGGTGCCAGTATGATTCAACTTTCCAAGCCACTGAGCGCCATTATGTCCTCCATCAGCCATCCTCATATAACCATCAGACCATGCATTTACATATCCAGGGTAGAAAGAAGCATCACCATAAGGAACCAAAACCTGTTTTACAGTCATCAGGGCAGGTCCATTCCATGCGAGCATTGGACATGAATACAGAGCGCCATAACCAATTGCACTATAGCCGTCATATGTATATCCTCCATCATAGCCAACTGGACCAAATCCAAAACCAGGAAGGAATTGTGATTCATAACCATGATAATACCCATATTCCGGACCATAAGGTGGATACCCCCAAGGAAGATAATTCTGATAAGAATTATCATTCGTGTTGTTATAATTACTGCTGCAAGTGTGGTTAATATCCTTGGGAACAGCTATTTTAACCTCTACAGTTTTTTTGTTCAGCTCATGGAACCTCTTCTGTGTCGCATTCTGTGCTGCTGATTCTGAAGCAAAGGTTATAAAGCCAAAGCCTCTTGGCCGCTGTGTTTCACTGTCATTCATGATAACAACATCATTCACGGATCCAAATTTCTCAAAGTAACTCCTAAACTCATCTTCAGTAATATTAGATGGCAATCCACCTACAAAAATCTTTCTGGAAGTAATGCTACTGTTGTTGTTATTCATGTTGTTAGTACTTTGCACTGAACTTTGATGATAAGCTGATTGATAACGCCTCCGTTCTTCTGATCTTGATCTAGCTCTCTTAACTTCTACCTGATAAACAGGAAACAAAAACATATAGATCAAAATTACATACCCAAGAACTTTAGCAGCAGAACGTGAATAGAAAAGAATTGGGATAAGTAACATCAAATTTATAAATCTGCTGAATTAAATTAACCCAAAGCCTAAGGACCTTACACAATGAGAAGATATTAATGTCAAATGATAACATTTTGCTTCCTTTATTTCATGTTTAGTAACCAATACGTGCGTGCGTGTGTGCGCGTGCGCACCCCTTTTTGTATCTCTGTCCTCCTCTCTCTCTCTCAATTTATATAAGGGAGATTTACATACATACCACTTAAAACATTCAAATTTATATACATACCACATAGATTCGATTTATTATAAAGTTTGGATGTCAGATTAGTAAAATTGATTTTTTTTTTTTGTGAAAGCTATGTAAATTTCAAAATTTCATGTAATATGCATGTAAAACCCCCACATTTATAATGTAAAAATCATTTTCTGCTTTTCTTAAAAACTCTTAAAACAAGAAGAAATTATCTTCTTCATCATTTCTTCACTTCTTCTCTCTTATTTTCTTGCCTCATCTCCCAATCAAATGGTTGGACTCAAAACTTCATCACTTTCACCCTTAAAAAGTTCTAAACTCACATTCCTCGCCATTAAAACTTCGTATGCGTGGCTGAACTTAAACTCCGTTGATAAAACTATTACTTCCTGTCAGGACTATAAAATTCCTCAACAAGAACAATAACTTCTAAATTTCAAACAACTAAAACAGATCTTATCTGACAAAAGCTGAATCAAATCATGCACATTAGCAAATCTTTCAAACTTATCCAAGAAACAAAAAACAATGTTACTCTTCAAAAATTCACAAAAAAATAAGAAAGTGAAAGAAAAGAACTAACCAATATATCCCTAATTAGATGCTGCCCCTCTTCATTGACGGCCCTCTCCACAGCTTCCGCGTCAACGAATTCAACAAAACCGAACCCCTTAGCATTCCCCGTCGCCCTATCTTTCACCACCATCACCTCCTTAACATCACCGTACTTCTCGAAATACTCTTTCAGCGCGCCCTCCTCCAACTCTTTAGTGATTCCTCCTACAAAAATCTTGGCCGGCGCCGCTGCTGCAGAAGGCGACTGCGAAGACGATGACGGAGAGGGATCCATCTCTGCTGCGAAACCCTAATGCGGACGAGGAAGGAGATTAGCTGAGATGAGCTGAGACGAAGAGAGACAGAAACCTGCGAGGGTTTTGGGGTAGTTACCGAACGGCGAGTGGGAGTGAAGGATGAACGGCTGAAGACGTGTGGTATAAATAGGGTTTTATCTGATTCGGAGATTTTCACGGAGCCTATTTCGACTTCAGTTATAATGGGTCAGTTATTTCTTTGTTTAAATTTTTATTTACATAAATACCACCTATTTATTTTATGAAATTAATTTTAATAAATAATTACATAGATGACCCCTGAAATATTGTTACTTATAAAAATGTAGCAATCAAACTTATTTATTTTTACGTGCCACAATTAAACCATTGAAATTTTGATAAAAATGAAAAATATGGGCTGGGAGTTTAGTGTTTTATCGTGAATTTTAATATTTGAGTGAAAATTTGAAAAAATTTATGAAAGAATATGCTAGATTTGTAAATAATAATGTTTCGTGTCATGTATGTACTTTCTCCAAATTTCAACGGATCTTTCATATCATAGGTTGGGCTGTAAATAAAAGAATGCACTTGATAAACAACTTGAACTCAACTCGATTAAGACTAGAACATATTCGTTCAAATTAGTAAATAAACATGATTAAATAATTTTTAAAAGCTTGAAGCTTAAACGAAGTGAACATGAACATAGTCGAACTAGTTCGTTTACGTTCACGAACAAACTCGTTTGTCGTTCAAGAAATAACTTGTTAAATACTTGATGTTAAGCTCGATAATAACTCATATTTTATATATGATATGTTATTTAGATAAAATTTGATTAGTTAGAAATCATTTATTTATAGATTTAGTAGTAATATATTATTACATCAATAGTATTTTTAGTTTAATTGTTAATTATGTTTTATTTTATTAATAATTGAATGATAATTTAGAATGAGATATTTACAATTAAAGAAAGTATCATACAAGATTTTTCTTATAAAGTTTTTATAATGTTGAATGTAATGAGTTCATTTTTTATGATCATCACACTGAAATTACCAATAACATTGAAGTGGATTGCCTTATTGTTATTATTTTCTTATTAATATGATTAAGTAAATGATCATCCCTATAACTTTTAGGATCAATTTAGTTCTTACACTTACAAAATTTGAATTAGTATAGTCTTATCAATACAAATTATTTAGCTAATTAGTGAAGTTCAAAGATTTTAGATTTCATAATCAATAAATTAGTAATTGCGATTTAAATCACAAAATTATTTATTAATTTTTTATAAGAAAATTTAGATTCTCATTTGAATTTTAATTTGTATTCGTTCACTTGTCACGAACAAATCAAGGACAAAATTAAGTTCAAATATTGAAAAATTTAAACAAATCAAGCTTAAACAATATATGAAAGTTTGAAGCAAGCTCAAGCCGAACATAAACAACTTATAATTATATCAAACCAAGTTCGAACGATGATATACTCGACTTGGGTCGGCTCGATTACAACCTTAATCACATGTAAACTTTCACTATTATTGCTTTTTAATAAATAAAATATTTTATGGGCATGAAAGGTAGTATTAATATAAATATTATATAAAAAAAAATCTGAACTTTGATTTTTTTACATATATGTCACTTTATGTATGTGTTTTCTAAATTAATAATAGTAATGTTTTTTGTAATATGAAAAGCATAAAAATTGAATTATATATATTTGACTTCTACATATATATAAGAAGTATATATTTAAATGCATTCTTTTTTAACTTTATGGTGAAATCTTAAATTGTCTCACTCACCCTCCTTTTATTTATGAATGTTTTAATAATTTTCTTCAACTAAGTTATAACTTAAATTTATTAATAGTGAAAATAGAAACTTTAAGAGAGGCCTTTTGGGAGGCTTTTCTGCCATTTATTAAGTTTCTTCAACTAAGTTTTTGAGTCATGATTTTTGTAGCCCAAATGATAATATGTGTAATTTGAATTCGCAATATCATGGAGAAAAATTGCACCCTCAACCACAATGTCGAGGGTAAATACGATGAAGTAGGATTGTTCCACATAAAAAACTTACGTGCCTTAATTATCGCATCTCCAATGTCTACTTAGGATCATGATTAAAGCTTATCCTTCAATTGATTCAATCATCAAACTGATAATACCATTTGATGGGTGCTTGGTTGACCATCTTTCTAAAATATATCTTAACTTAGAATATTTTCCTCTCACTTAATATATAATTTGCACCACCTTTCATCAAATTATAATGTCAAATCTATTGCAATTATTTGCAAAATTTTAAAAATATTATTTTAAATGTCTTGAACATGAATTTTAAGGGGGTTTCCTACTTATGTCTTTTATAGCATACTCATCAACATAAATAAAAAACTCCAAATACTCTAATTAATATATCTTAATACCCACCAATGAAAAAGAAGTCCCAAATACAATTGAACTTATGGAAGCTTATTTATTAATTATACATTCTCAAAGCCTCTTAATTAAATATGATCTTACACTTGCTTACTCCAACAAGTTCAAATGGCTTATGTAAAAGTTCTAAGCACAGTTCTCCAACTATCAGGAACATGGCAGTCCATGGATGCTACAGAAATTCCAATAATAATACTAATAGTTTTCTGAGTCTGAAAGTTGAAAGATGAACAGAAGTAGATTTGGTGGGTTTGTATCAGTTTGCAGGAGGAGCTCTGTAATACGCAGGAACAGTTGCAGGGAAGAACATCTGTCTGAACCCTTCTGCTTTTAAGATGGGGAAGATGATCCCGCATGCACCCTACAAAGCAGAAACACACATCAACTTTACTGGAAAAACAAATATTATGAAATAAAAAATGAAGAAGATATTTATAAGACGAAGATAAATCAGGAAAATGCTTTGCATCTCTTAATATTCTTCTGAAACAGGATTGCTTTGCTTCCTCTTTATGTTTTATCCAGACAGCTTGTAGTTATTAGTGTAGCTTCCAAGCATGCATGTCACGGTTATACTGACTTTGCATGACAGGCATACATTATTTCAATACTGGAAAAGAAAACAAACAGCTATAAAACAGGTGTTTTCTGACATAGTTGTTAGGTATGACTCCTACACCAGATAAGAGACAGACGCTGGAGCAGAACGTAGCGAGACAACGGAGCGAACCAGCGTAGCGATCGGGGGTAGTTTCGTTATGTGGGTTGGAGGCGTGGGGGCAACGCCCCAGCAATACAGTACAGGGGTAATTTAGTAATTATATATATACTGTATTGTAATCCTAAAGGGGATTTTTGTACCCTTTTTAGTGAAATCTAAAGAGGCCGTCGCTATGTTCCCGAGGACGTAGGCTCATTAAATCTTTAGGTTTTCTTCTTGTTTTCCATGATTCTAGCGCTTTCTTTGCCTTAATTCCTCAACAATAATTAATGATCTCACTTTTAATATTGCAAATATATTATAATATTGAGACAATTTCAATCCTCTAGTACTTATTTGCATTTTGCAGTTGATGTTTATTCATAAATAGTAGTCTCACCAACCGATGATTCGATTCAAACAACTGGGTTGTTTTAATAAGACTAGTTGCTCAGAACCAAGTTGGGAACAGGGATCCTGACCAACTTGACTCAGGCCCCGTTTGTTTCAGCTTCGGCGTTTTGATTCGTGCGTTTGCGCGTTGGATTCCTGAACTGCGGCGTGCCTTTCTCCCTTCCAGCAACCGTGACAGGAACCCCGCGCCCCACGTACCGCGTGTAAAATTCCCTGTTTTACCATACTTGGTGCCGATTTGTTTCCCTGTTTTCCACTAAAGTGGATTACAGATTACCTATGTAAGTGGATTATGGATTACCAACTTTTATATAATTATGTATAAGTAGGCTACGGATTACCTATGTGTTTGTTTCATGCGGGTTTGTTGAATGTATTTGATTAAATTAACCTTAGGGTAATCCGGTTTGCTTCCCTGTTGCTTTGTCCTATTATATTAATTCCTTTATTTCCAATTGTCGAGTCAAATTGCAGTTAAAAGCAGTTAAAAGCAAGCACATCTATATTGTTAGTGGATTATTTATTTATTTAGTTAGGATAAAAATGGTCTCAAATCCAATCCTTAAAATATTAGTGAATTATTTATTTACAAAAAAAAAATTAATATATTTAATCAGTTATTGAATTTTTTTATAACATAATGAACTATAATATAAAAATATAAAAAATAAAATTAAGTGCAAACTTTAATATGAGAATTATGAGTTTTATATAATATAAGCAGATGGATATTTCAGACTTTTATCCACATACAACACTTTCAAAACTGAATTTTTTAAACATATCAACTGTTTCTGGAACACCAGCTTATAACAGTTTTGTTGAACTGAGATTTCATACAAGCGTGACCGAAACAAACACACCCTAAGAGTATCTCCTTGACTCACCCAAATCACTGCACAGATTGAAACCAAGTTGGTAACAGGCAACATAACCCCGACTCGATTAATATTATCCCCTTGACTCATCCTAGTCACTGCTTAACTTCGTGTGAACCAAACTCGACCCTAGAAGTCCACTAAATGAGACAAAAACAAGTAGATTCCAGGTCCATAAAAGCCTCAAACTATGAAAATGAGACCTAGAAACTATGAAACTACTTTGACAAGCATAGATTGAGAAAATGATGCAGACAATGCCAAGTTTGTGAATGAGAATATAATGAATGATTTGTGACGGAAAAATAGATTATATCATTGCTTTTTATAGTGTAATCTATGAGAAGTTGAGAGTAATTGATACAAATAAGCTCTATCTCCACCATGTACATACGAAATTTTATGACTAAATAGTTGAAGGGGATCAATGTACCGACAATGACTAAAAAGGGAAAAATTGCCAAAAAAAAAGTTCAACAATGTCTATAGGTTTTCTAGGTTGATGACCTATTTAAGTTTGAATGAGCATATACTAATAGACCTACTTACAAATAAATTATATGCAAACTCAGATATTGATGGTATCAGATCCCACAAAGAAGTGTGCACTTTAATCAAAAACCAAAAAAATTTGCTTGGCCTCCTAATAACTACTTCAGTTTGACAATTGATTTAAAGGTGATTGACACTCAAAAATATTAATTGAGTTTTTTTTTTTTTAAGGATATAAAAATAACAAATAAATAATATTTCCATTATATGCAATCATTTTAAGTAAACAATAAAACTTCGGGTCTATTTGAGGCGGTTGTAGCTGTTTAAAAAACTACTGAGTAATACCTGTGCGAGGAAGCTGCAACGTGGGATTGCTACGGGGAAGCTATGTGTGTGTTTTTTTTATCAGCTGTGTAGCAGCTGTTTATAAATAAAAGATATTTTGTCAGTCTTAATTTGTTATTTATCAGATGAACAATCCATGTTGAAAAATACAAACCTAAAAATAAAAATTATATTCGAAATCCCAAAAAAAAACTCACAAGTTAAAAAAAATATATATATCTAAAACTGGTATCTCATTTAATGGTAACACAATAATCAAAATAAGATATCAAAATATTAAAACAACAATTAACATTATCAAATTATTGATTTTGATATGGACAATTTTATGATATAGATTCTTCTCCAAAGACGCTCTCCATGTTAGACTATTATTTGAGGTAGAATCGTTTAACTAATCCATCCACCTAAAGAAGTCACAACCCTTGTAAATTTACTCATTGGATACCTGAAAAATTTTCTTTCATAACTATTCTCTCTTCGTGAAGCAAGCAGAGAACAATGCAATCTACAATTGCTAAAGTTTTCACCAAATTTATGAAAAATGTACCACTTTAGAATTCAGATATCGTAATATCCACTAACCACGAGACTGATTTGCTAAAGTCCGCACCAAATTTATGAAAAACAACATTGTTGTATGTAAAAACAGAATGGTCAGCATCCACAAACCAACTTCCGTTCAGTTTGGAGAATTCAAACAACCGCGCTTTCAATTTAACAATAACCTTAGTGATTTGAAACAAATATCTAGAATCAATTATGTAAATATGCTTAAATTATTTTGACATGCAATGGCACAAAGACATCTCATAAAATAGCAAAATATGCAGAAATACCCATAAAAGAAATAGGGGTTGTAGTTTAGAATGTTGCCATAAATCATACAATGCACTATATGATCACCAATATTAAAAAAAGCTGGTCAAGCAATGGTGTCAGTAATAAAATAAAGTCAATTAGTATAATTAGTGAGACACATCATGGATTTTCATCAAAAGATGTTGATGAACAACAATAGTGAGCAGAGGCTTGTAATACTCAAGCTCAACAACATGTTGTAGCTTTAGATAATGATGCGATGAAACATTAATAAGCAAGCACAAAACAATATCAATATCCTTTTCTAGCATGACCACATGCTCATATAAAATTTGGGCCATACAATAGGTCAATCCTAAGAGCAGAACTTCAATTAGCAAAGACAGGAGAAACCACAAACTACAAATAACAAAGCCACCGAGACAGAGATTACATATCACAAAGAACAAATCCAATCAAACAAAGTTTAAGGAAATAAGGTACCGAAAAATGAAGGAAAGCAAAAGAAGAAAACGCCACGCAATCGATTCTCACCAAAGGTACCATGGGACGAAAGAAAGCAAGGAAGAAGAAGTACTAGGCAGCAAACCAAAGGATCGCTCGAAATAACTTACCTAGGGGCAACGATGGAATTTCCATAGAGCAAAACAGTAGGATGGCGGCGTAAAAGCAATGCCGTGGAAACTAAATAGTGAATGCGGTGTTCTCAGACCGCATCCTAGCCAAAAAGCTGCCCCAAACGCCCCTTAATCACTTTGTTAAAATATATTTCGATGCATGATAAGCACCAATAGTTTGCCTGCAAAAGGTCTAAAACTCAGGTGATTGAGAGCTTAAGGGAATCCTTACATACCCCTTCAACAAAAGATTTGCAATCACTGTTCTCAAGGATTCAAGCCACTTCTATGGAGAACTGTCTTGAAACACAGAATGTTGGAATAATGTTATGGAACTGGTCCACTAAAGGTCTTATCATGAAGCTAGTTCACATCCTGATTAACTATGCCAGTTCTAAGGATAATGATGATGACTATCATTTTAATGAAATTATAATCACAATATTGCAGGTCCATAAAAAAAGGTAGAATATTTAAATACGCATATGTGTTAGTTAGAATATGCAAGTTAAATTTAACTGTATCAAAAAATTATATAAACTAAATGGAACTTCAGGGAATAGCATTATTATCAGAAGAATCCATGAAAGCATACGCCGATCATCACGACAATTAACCTAGTTCTCCTTAATGTTATGTAACTTTGGTTTTTATTTTTGTTTTTTCTATTATTTTTAAAAATATATTAGTTTGCTATATTTTCAACATATTTTTTATTTTTGTTTCTTAAAACAAATTAACATATTTTTTTTAAACAATCAAAACAATTCTTTAAGTTTTGAGTGGTTTTAAAAATTATCTTAATCAAATAGTCAAACATATTTAATTTCAAATCAAAATATAAAAAAGAATAATAATAAAAAAAAGTGACCCCAAACTGCCCCTAAGTTACTGTCAAATTTTGTGAAGAGAAATAGCCAACACCAACTTACGGCAATCAACTGAGCTCCAATCCACATTCTTTTCGGCGAAGGAAATGGAAACAAGACGCGGCCAGCCCCAAATATAGCGACAGCAAAGAAGTGGGTGACGAGGCTCATCAGCCGCAGATTCAATCCAGACAGTAAAGCCGCAAATCTAGTGGAACAAGTACCTCCAAGGCTTAGATAATCGAAACATGCTTGCCGCATTTCATTTCTAGCCTGACCAGGTGAACTGCTAAAAATCTTGTACATCGCATTGGCCAAAGCGTTTATTGTTGAAGCAACCGGCTACAAAAAGATAACAACTAATTCAACTTGTTAAGGCTAAAAAATAGGGTACTCAACATAAAATCATAAAAATAAGAGCCAACGACTCTTGCTAATTAGCTGAAAGAAGAGCTTTAATGGTGGATAGGCCCAAAAAAAGCTGAGAAAAGTGCAGCGACAAACCTTGACAAACCTTACGCAAGGTATAGACGCAAGGTATAGAAGGATTCCAAATATTTACAGAGAGAGGATGCATCATGGAGATCATGCAGCGGCTTAAGAAGATTGTGTAGCACCACGATATCTGACAATGCCACAGTCATTCCCCCACCCGTTAATGGATGCCGCATGTTGAATGCGTCGCCCATCAGAAGTGCTCCAGGTGTAGGATGAGGATCGGCCGGCATACTCCGATTTGGCATGGTTCTGATTTTTCCTTTGTCGACAGCCGCAATGAAGACATCACGAAGTTGACTAGGTATCTGAAACATTTCAATGATTCGGTTATAGTTGTAAGTGAATGAAATATGAGCCGTTTATACAAGTACATTGATGTTTTTGAAGTGAAGCAACAAAAGTAATACCATGATCTCATTAAAATACGGAAGGAAGATTTACATACATACCACTCAATTCCTATGTACTTCATATCTAACACCTAAACTTCAATTTTTACAAAAATACCATCTTAACTATCCATGAAAAAGTGTATTTCACTTTTTTAAAAGTTAAAAAGGTGGTACTTTTTTATGTGATATGAAAGATTTGGGTGGTATAAATATGGAAAAAAACAAAGTTTAGCATGTAATTATGTAGATAAAAAGGAATTAGGCGGTACGTTTGTAAATTTCCCAATACATATGGCATCAAAACACACCTGACGTACTACCACAGTCTTCAGATAATTCGCCATTTCTCCGTTTGCTATGGAAGGCACTTTTCGTCCGGGCACATCGACCAAACAACGAACTTCCGTGCTGCTTATGGGATAAAAAAGAATGGGGGAAGGATCTGCTAAGATGACATGGCCATGATTTGAAAATGGTAGTTTGCAATTCTCGAGAACCAAGCCAATGAAAGAAGACGGTATATCCACCTAAAAAAATAGAGTTAGCATCTAACAAAACTATTATCAATTAAATCAAATAAAACATAATCAAGAAATTGATGGAAATTTTTATATATGAAAGACAATCTCACAAATTGTACTAAATAAACAAGGATGCAACTGATACTTCGACAATTTCACCTTTGGATTGCAGAGAGCACGTCGTAGATTTGAAAAGCAACCATCGCATACAATAGTAAGTGGAGCAAAAGCTTTCAGCTCATAACCAGCTTTACTCTTGTATGTCACCCCCTTAACGATCCCATTTTCTTTAAGCAAGGATGTGACAGTTCCCTCCTCCATCCGAACACTAAAGAAAGAAGCACCGAAAAAACTATTTACTCAACTAAACCAGACAACAGAAAAAAAGGAAGATAATGGTATAAAGTTCTGTTACTTGGAAGCTACAAATAATCAGATCACAATTTGCTCAAGCACATATGAGTTGAAACTTCCAATCAACAAACCTTTTGAATATTTACAGAACTAACGCCATCCTAGGTCCATCAAATTACCCCTCACGCATTGAAATTCATATTAAAACATCCATTTGCATTTTTCGACTTCATAAAATTACCTACTGTTTGACCATGGCATGAGCATATACATGATGTTGTTAGTTCAATTTCTTAGATGGGTGGTAATTTATAAATTGATTGATTTTGGTGGTATGTATAAATCCCCCGAAAAAGTATTGCTATTACATCTCTACTGCCATGACAAAAAGGAAAGGGAAAATTACTTGTGCATCACAGAGATTTGAGTCCTCTAACTTGTATGGCTACAAACTTGAGTTTAAATCCAGGTCTTGAGAGGACCACTTGTTTACTTTCAAACATTACTAGAAGGAAATTACTACCGTTGAGTTTTAACTCCAGGTCTAGAGAGGACTATCATATTTAGTTTCAAAGTTACTACAATACACTTTAACTCAAATCTACCATAAACTATACTTTGTTCAAAGAAATTATATCCAGTAAAGATGGCATTTTACCTGATCTTCCTTAAATATAAAATGAGATTGATTATGTGGTTCAGTTTTTTTTTAGCATGAGTAGAAAGACATATTTAACCAATGAATAGAAATATACTCCCGCTGTATCTTCATGCTCAGGGTTAATGGGAATATAGAGTGATTTTAGGGGTATATTAGCAAAAGGCTGCTGGTTACCTTTAATGACATGAATTCAAAGGTATATTTCAGGACTTAGTACTGAAATTATATCCAATTAATATGAAAAAGTAGTTCAAAGAAATCATATATGACGAATCTGGCGTTTTACCTAACTTTTTAAATATAAAATCAAATTGATCTTGATGTAGTGTGATGCGCGGTCGGCTAGCACTAATAATAAATATGTAGTTCAATCCCAATACAAATAAATTAAGTATAATAATTTTATCTTTTAAAATCTCTAAGTTGTCAAACCCGTAATAATAATGCAAGTATATGTGTCGCTCAAGTAATAAAGAGCTCTAATAGAGTTTTAAGTATCTATCCCATAGGGAGTTGAAAATTCTTATGGCTATAACGTCAAACACACTATTCAAAATATAAAACTTAGGTAAGTAAATCAAATCTAAAGTAAATTTAATGCGTGCTAAATAAAATGCAGTTAAAAGAACTAAGTTAACTAAATTAATTGTTAAACTTCAAAAGTAATCTTATAAAAACTAAACAGAGTTTTAAAATGAAGAGTTCAAATTTAAGAAAATATCTTTCCGCTTACAATGAGTTTATAGAATGTGAAGAAATTAAAATTATTTTAAAATACATATGAAATTATATTGTGTCAAATAAGAGCAATCATATTCTTTACCCTCTGAGAGTGCATAAAAAACATTGTCTAACCCAGAGTTTGGTCCCTAAATCCGTGGTTAGGTTTAGAGGATACTGGCTCTCACATCTCCCTCGCCTGAGAGCTAACAATCTCGCTTTAGTTTCGAAGCAACTGGACCAAATTGGAGATTTTAATCTGTCACTTTAAAATTTCTAATTTTGCGTCAATCAAAGTATATTTCTCTATTTATTACACGCAATCCCATGGATTATATTCTCACCCATGAAATTTAATGCGACTCTTACCTTATTGAGAAAATATAGCCCTTTCAGATCATATGTTTTTCAACAAATTTTAACCATTCAATTGGTCAGATCGAAAAGTAAATGAAGATCTGAGTTCGAATCATCACAATTTTTTGACATTTAAAACCTTATAAAATAAAACTAATTCTTCACAAAACCATATCTCAATGTAGGGAGAAAGATAAAGAAGACTACCAAAATTCATGAGAAGCATACGACAAAAAACGGATTTCATATATAAAAACAAGTTTACAAAACAAATAAAGAAAAGAATACAACTTATCTCACACTCCTTCCCAAGCAAATTCCTAGAAGTTTCTTTCAAGCGCTTTCTCTCTTTACAATCACACTTAATTCTCTCTTAAAAGTGTAATAAAGAAGAAATCTCTCACATTCTCTCTCCTCTTACAATCCTAAAAGAAAATCATTCTCTTCTCTCTCACACCAAACTCTCTCTCTATCTCATGCCCCCCTTTTCTCCTTCTCTAGACTCTCCTCTTTTAATTAGGGCCCAAAAGGAATTCAAAATTTTCTCCAATTTTTCCCCCAAAAGTCACACCTTTTGCACCAAGAGATAAGTCCCCTCGTCCAAGAGACATATCTCTTCATTAAAAAGCATTCAAAAGTATCTAGATGCATTGAATCACTCCATGAGACGTTTGAAATGTTTGGAGCCTTCAAAATCCGCTAAAAAATAGTCATGAACCGACTTACTCTATCATAATTTATCTCTGGCGCTTCTGGCCCCAGCCTAATGAAGCCCGCACTGTTTTCTGGATTTTGACGCCTCTGGCTCGTTTTCTCTGTAAAACGACACCTTTGGCGCTAGCTCTCGGGAAAATGGCGTCAGGATCACGAAATTCTCTATTTTGGCTCCGAATTTCTTTTATTTTTTGCTACTTTTTACTCTAAATTCCTAAAGTTAATATATCTGCAACAAAAACATGCAAATACTTTTCTTAAAAGTACAATATCACCAAAATAAACATAAAATGTGCGCATAAAATAGTATATTATTTTGGTATATCATAGTATCACATAAGATAAGTTCAATGTGTATGAATTTGAGACAAGTACAAAGAATCGATGTATTTATGTGTATTTGTGTATGTGTGCGTGTCATAATACATATTTTCATTTCTATAAAACCATCTAATTAAAGTTTTTTTTTTTTTTACAAAAATGGATATAAGTGTCATCTATCCAAAAATGTGATTGTGCCTCCCATCCCTACTCCCGTCCCATTTATTGGCATTTGAGGCCTAGTCCTATTTGTCCCACGCTTTAAATTTTTTTTTTAAAAAAATAACCTCAATTAAACCTATCAACATCATCCTCATCTCTCAATTTCTCACTATTGTCGCCCATTTGATCACTTCATCACACTATTCTCTGTCACTCTCTTGGTTTCCTTCACCTGCATTGACAGATACTCTTCCCTGTTCTCTCTATCTCACTACTCTTTCATGAACTCCTCACACTCTAGCTCACATTTGCTCCTACACAAGCCGTACTCAGTGTGATTTCAAATTCTTGTGCCAATGTTCTCACTCTAATCCATGAACTTCAAACTCTAATCACATCCTCACATAACTTTCATTCTCTCATAATCATAGCTCCTCGTTGCGCTCATAGTAGCACCAACATCCTTCACTCACATGACTTCATCATCACAACAAGCACCAGCAAATCGAATTATGATAGTCTTCCATCATCAAACCACGCGATCTCCCTCTCCTACGTGCAGCAGATTCAACTTAGTCAAACTCCAACACTTCACCATCACCATCAATATCTCATGCTTGCGACACCTTCACTTACTCCTTTGATTCAGTAATTGCAGCTCACCAACCCAACACTGACAATCATCATTCATCATCAACCTCCAATGCTCTATCTCTTCCTCTCTCTCTCTCTCTCTCTCTATATATATATAAATAAGTACATACAATACGTATTGTTTTGAAGCATTAGGAAAAGCTTCTTTTTTCTAGCATAGATGCCAAAGCCTCAAAGATTTTTTGAAGCGTTGTTGGTTTAGAGACCGCAAGCATGATGTTATTACATTAATCATGCACATTTTTTAAGAATAATCGACAGACTTAACAATGAACTAAATGCCTCCTACGTGAGTGTGACACCAAAATGCTATCTAAAGTTATTCAATGAAAGGACCCAAAACAATCTCATAAAGCACAATTAAACAAGCTCATAAAAAGGAGAAATAAGTAAACTCTTTTAAAGATAAACTTATCGATATAAAAAAAATTATTAAAAAGGGTTGTTTACATACATAGCACCCAAAACATTGCTATTTACAAATATAGCACCTTGTTTCATCCATTTTTCATATTATCACCCAAATATCAAAACACATGATAAACCCCAACCCATATTTTTCATTTTTATAAAATTCTAAATGGTTTGATCGTAAATACATCAGTTCGGTAGTTCAAACATATTACATGGATGCTAGATTCATAAATAGCAAAGCTTTGGGTGCTATGTATGTAATTATCCCTATTAAAAAACAAAGATTTGATTAAAACAATGAAAAATGATGAAGTTCTATTAATTTATAATAATTTGTGATAAATGATCAATAGAAGGTAACAATAAATTACAATATCAAAATTGCAAGAGATATATCTTATTGTTTCTTTGATGGAGGAAGGAGCAAGAGTAACAGGTCCAACAAATTCACCGAGAAATTAATAGAAAAGAATGCTATAAAAATTTATCTAATTGAAATTATAACCATCAACATAATCATTGTTTTGAATTTTAATTAATGTTCGTATTGAGTTTTATTGATTAAGGTAGAAAAAGATGATTGATATTAAATATAAGGAGGAATAATTAGGGGATGTTGACACAACAAAAGATGAGGGAGAAGAAAAAATAATTCATTATAATGTAGATTTTAATAAGGTCCACTAAGCATTGAGGGTGGATACTTTTGAATTTATAAATTATAACCTTGAAAGATTAAGCTATTTGTTAATGTCGATTTTCGAGTGGAAGAGACTTATTGTGATGAAATTACTTTGACTTGTTATGATCTTACTTTAAAATTACTATGGAATTTTTTACTTCACGTCTCTTATTAATTTAATGTTCTAATTTTGAGGCTAGCACGTCATCTCATAGATAAAAAATATCTCAATACCCAATTGCTCAATTTCAAAAGTTAGTTATAAAGTTTAATTACATGGTATTAGAACTACACCCCAACACCCCAAAAAACAATCATTAATTAGAGTTCCATACGCATGGTAGAATTTCTTTATTTTTTTAATCATATATATATTAATCAAGATCAAAATATTTTATTATAGTAATATGAAATTCATAATAATATTAAATTCAATTGTATAATCAACATATTTCAATGCAGTAACTTTTTTTACTAAATAGGCACAACTCAAGCAATGGTTTAGGCACTGTTTGAAAAAACTATCTATTTTCTGTTTTTTATATTTGAAAACAAACCCACCCAAAAATGGTGTTTTATTCGTTTTTTGTTTTTTAAAATTTTATTTTTAAAACCCATAAGACATCAAAAACATAGAAATTATGTTTTTGTTGTTTTAAAAACATGTTTTTCAGAGCATTGCCTGTGCAAGGCTTCGCCCGCCGCAATATGTCGATCGTCGGCTCCGACCCCCATTGTTGCCAGCCCCCACCGGCCCCCGCCCGCCACCGCCAGCCGTAGTAGCCGCCTGGTGTCTGCCGCTTGTCGCAAGACCCTACTAGTTGTTGTTGTTGCTGGCCGCCAGCTGCCTACTGCTTGCTCGCCTATAGGTAATGCATCGTGCTGTGTAGAGCAAAGAAGACAACTTATACGACATCAGCGACAGAGCTTAATGCTGGAGCGCATATGAACCCAACCATTTTATAAAAAGTAATAGTTATTTCTTAAAAAAAAATAAAAAATAGCCAACCAAACATGTTTTGCATATTTTGTTTCTAAAAATATATAAATCATAATAGTACCAAAATCATTTTCTAAATATAGAAAATAGAAAATAAAACAAAAACAAAACAGACTAAAAACAAAACTAGAAAATAGAAAGTGACCACAAACGGACCCTTAGTAATAATCCTAAAATAATTTTATCAAAGAGTCATGTGCTTCATAGCATGATAAAATGCAAAGCATTAATGTCAAAGCCTACATGCTGATATGCACCAAGTTGAGTTTTCTTGGAATATTTTGGTTTTTTTATTTCCCTTAAAACAATCTTTGAATATTCTTTATATTTTTTTCAAACTTTTCTATAATTTTCAAAATTTTCTGAGGTGCTTCTATATTTAAAAAAACGTTTAAGGGACTTTCTATAAAATTTCTAGGCACCAACCAAAGACTTATTGATGTTACGTTGAACGATGATATGGAAAAACAAGAGAGTGCTATGTGGCATGGAGGACCACATGGTGACATAGGAAGTTAATGTGGCAAGCTTGTGACACTTTTACGTAGCATCATATAACATATGGTGCATTGGATCAAATTTTTACTAATGTAAAATAAACTTGCTTGCCAAATGGCAATGGTGTGGTCCAATCAGAAGTCAACAATGCTATGCAAGCTTGTCTGGTACAGTCAGGTCAATTGTCACAAATTTCTCTCTGACTGAATCGGGGGTCCCCAATGAAATCATATCAATTAACCATTTATTGCAATTTCTCCATGGTTTTGTAGGGTCACATAAACACACAATAGAGAATGCATCAAATTACAAATGTATGATTATGCATGGACCTACGTAGTTACACATGTTATTTTCTTCTTTCTAAGTGGGACATATAATCATGCTTATCTAAAAGCAAGCAGATAAGCATTAAGGATCTATGCTATTTAGATCTCAGATTTAATATATTTTCATATATTTGTGCTGCTCAAGCCTCTTCTTCTTGCTTACAAGGCATAAAGAATTTGGGATGAGTTGTGCTCTACTTCCCCTTCAACTCAACCATAAAAATTTTTCATGTTTCAATTGCATCTCAATGAGATGGGTTCTTGTTTAAGTTCATTTTTTAGAATTTGGATTTTCTTTTTAACATATTTTTCTTCCAAGTCCACACCAATGGTGAGCATCACTTCCATGTGGCGGAAACAAAGAATGGCAAAGCATATCTACGTCCCCAAGTTAAAATCATCCAAGCAAACTGAAGCTCTTAGCAGTAAAAAAAAATGAAATAAATTATGACAGCTAGTAGGGTTGCCACTTATTTACACTTTCCATTTTGCTATAATTAAGGTAGCTAAAACCATTTCAAAGTTTTGTCAAGTTATGCAGAACTTGTACAAGGTTAGCGAATTTAGAGAGAGAGAGAGATTTACTTAGGTAAAGATGCAGCTTTTTCTCTCAGCCTCTGCACAAATCGCCCATTATGAATGCCTCTCCCAGCAACATGAGAACCATACTTCTCCAATGGATAAGAGAGTTTGGTACTTTGACCATCCTTGAAAAAAGCATAACCAAAAACATGCTGTGCATCAATTTCTTCAACACAGTCAGCAGGATACAAAAATAAGCATTTGCTGAAAGAAGCTCCTAAACAAAACAGGAAAAGGTTGCAACTTAAAATTCAATGACTACCCTCAAGGCCTAATTCAACCAATTTCAGATAGCCCCCTGGTAGTAAAAGTTCACCAACAATTCTATCAGGTTCTGTCAAATCTCTTTCAATAACATGCACTCGGCGTCCATCCTACAGTTAATAGCATGCAAAATTGAAAGTCAGACCTGCTAAAAGGAATAATAAATCAGATCAGTTATTTAAAATTAGAAAGACGACCTTATCACACGAAAGTTCCTGATGGAAATCATTGTCTCAATACTGCCAAATTACCAACACAAATTTGTGTTTATTTTTTACCCTGTATTTTAATGACTAACTTCAACCTTCAAAAAAAGAGAAATTTTCTTCACGAAAAGTATAAGAAGAGGCAACTGAATAGGATAAAAAAATTGTCGCTTGAAAACTACTCTACCGTCAAAATTTGTAGAATCTAAACTGCATGTCAGCCAATTCACTCGCTCATTCAAACGGAAGAGATAATATCAATCAAGTTTTTGAATAAAATGCAAGAAGCTAAACATTAAATCAAGGAAAATTTTGGTGCATATCATTCACCATCTGCGAAAGTGGAGGAAAAAAAGAAAGAGCTGAAATGCTTCTATAAATTCTATAAATGACAGTATGGAGGGCCTTAATTGTCAGGATAAATTCTCTTGATAAGCATGCGATGAGTTGTAATCTCAAGAATCGTATTATTAATATCACTTGACATTGCAGTCAGAGGGACCACAAATGACCTAGTAGAGATAGAGAGACGTTTGCTCGAAATCAGAAGAAGATAGGAATGAGGGAAGAGCAGAAAAATGGCCCCTGCGACACTCATTTGATAAGAACACAGGTGAAGCAAAACAAATGTTTCCTCCACTCTCATCCCCTCCCCTGCAAATTTAAGCAGATGAACTTGAGGAAGAAATGAATAAATTAAGGTAGCATGATGTTGTTGACCACATTTTTTTGGTGAGGTCTAGTCTTCCTTTTAGGACTTATGATCTAGTCATAGGGCTTTCCTTTTGACTATCCTAGAAGTCTAGTGATGTGACCCGCCTCTTTCGAAATTCAAGCCACTTCCTGGCTCCCTTGTGGAATCTTACATGGGTGGTCTTGTACCTCCAGCAGTTGGGTGGTTGAGACCAATATGGTGAGGCTCAAAGGGAGTACCCATAGGATAGCCTGACCTTAGGGTTGCCTGGCTCACCACACTCCTCACACCACTACACTTCATTCCCCCTCACCACCTTCACAACCCTAAACCTACCCCAGTTTCCCAAAATTCTCAGAGTCCAACCTAATCCTTGCCAAATTTCAAATCCAACTCCAAGACCAAGTCCCATGGACCCCAAACTCAAATTTCTATCTCAAATCCACCCAAAATCCAAAATCAATTCCAAACTCATCCAATTTCAAGCTCAAAATCCAAAATTGACAAGTTCAAATCCAGATTCACCTCAAATCCATTTGAACCCATGTGCCAAGTTCAATTTTAGCAAATTTATGTCCTAAATTTGCTCATGACAATGCCTAAGAAATTAACCAAAATTTTCACCAACCACCAATTGTGTTGTGCCACGTGTGCATGGGTGAAATTGAAGTGAAAAGGAGTTTAGGCCAGGTTTGGGCTTGATTTGGGCTAAATCTGAGCCAATAACACCACAATCTTACCATAATAACACCACTTCAATGCCACAATAACACTACATACCAAATCGCGGCAAAACCCCGCAATAACACCACCATACTACCTAAATAACCCCACTAATACTACCACAATAACCCCGCCTTAATACTGCGGCTGCGAACCCATGACAACACCACGATACATCCTCAGTACTACCGCGGTAACACCTGCCAAATCCGCCGCAATTTCTCCAATAACGTCGCGTAAATAGCACCACGGTGCCAAGCAAAACCCCGCAATAATGTCTTTTTAAATTCCTCGCTAATAACACCACAATACAACCTCCAATACTACCTCAATAACACTGATCCCGCGGAATTGTGGCAACTTCTCCAATACAACCCCAATATAGCACTGATAACACCAAGAGTAATACCACGGCTCGTAATTCAAATTTCGAATTCAAATTAACCACGCATGATTCAGGCTTTAAATGAGATTAATAGGATGTTATTACCTTCTAATTAAGCTCTGCATTGATTGGGAGAGGCTCCTCTCCATATTTGTCCCGAAACGGCTCTTTTGAAGATCTAACATAAGAAAAAAATCAGTCTCCCCGAGAACATTCCGGATACAAGCAGAAAGAGCCAAAGGGTTTCTTTCCTACACGCTGCATTGCCAAGTCTCTTCACCATCCTTAGCCACCGTCTCCCACCACAAAGCCTCAATTTTGAAACTCAAAATTAGGACTTTTTTTGGTCTGAAATTTACTTCAACAAAACTCAAATTTAATCATTCCAAAAGCCCCCCCACACCGCAAAACTTCATTCCCAATAAAAGCCTCACCTTCCCGCGACGTCTAATCTAACCCTAGACCAAACCCGAGCCACTTTGGTCAAGTTCGTACTTGGACCCGCTCTCAGAGGAATCCAACATATGGAGGAGGTTCGTAGGACTCAACCAAGGCTTCTACAACAACCCAATCGAGGCCTCACCTCTTGAGCTAAGGTATAATCTCAAAATTTTCATTTTTGCTTCGATTTTGGACCTTTGTGAAGAAAATAAACATTTCATGCCCACTTAGTCGTATGGATAAAAACATTTAACCTAGATGATGATGTAAGATCAAACCATGTTTAATTTCATTATAAATCTAGGGAGATCTTAAGGTTTTAGTGTGGACGGTTCTCGAGTTAGGGCGGCTTTGGGATGACGAGCAATTGGGATGACCAGCGAATGTCGTTTGTTTCCGCGCTTTTAAATCAACAGTGGAGATCAGTCGGATGGCGGATCAGTTCTACTCAACAGACGAAATTGCAGGTTGACGGGGCAGCCACGTGGAAAGCGTAACCATTAGAAGAACACCGCGTGGTCATGTGGAGTTCCGCGGTGTTATTTATACTGTACACTAGTGTTATTCCCATAATATTCTGGTGTTACTGGCACGTTAACACGCCTCATAGCTTTGCGTGGTTTTGTGGTGTCATTCGCACCGTACACTAGTGTTATTCTCGTGTTATCGTGGTGTTATTAGCGCGTCCTTTTGGATTTGTCTAGGTTGAGTCAGCACCACGTGGCTAAGTAGGATATTAGGGAATTTTCTGATTCAATTAAATACATAAAACTTTAAAAAAATCATATATTGGCATGAAAAACTAAAAAAAAATAAAATAAAAATACCCCTATGCTCAGTAAACATAGATGAATCCAGTGAACTTAAAATTGAAAATAATTAATTTATATTTAATTTTGAATTCATTAAACATCACAGGACTTAATTAAATCATAAAAAAATCGATTTTGATCATCATAACTTGAAAATTTCAGGGCATATTCCTCATGAGCCTGTGAAGGTTCTTTGATTTTTCCAAAGTCAGAGAGCAGCCCTAGCATTAAAGACTATTTTTTTATAGATTTCACCTTTGTTTAATTAGAAAATTCTTAAAAAGTAAAATAAATATAAAAAAAATTCAAAAATAATTATAAAAAAGTAAATAAAAATAAAAAAAAATAAAAAAAATTGAGTTCTCTGAGTTTGCCAAAGTTAGGAGTTAAGAAAAAATCAAAATTAAATTATCAAAAATAAAAAAAATTATTTTTTTTGTTTATTCATTCACCAAAATTAATTAAAGAATCATAAAATTTAAAATAAATTTAAAAAATCATGAAACTCGGCTTAGATGACCACTGATTTCTAGGAACACAAAATTTTCTTAAGGACAAAAAACATGGGTTGAGTCATCAAATTAATTATCATTGAAAATTCGCAATTATGAGCTCAAATAATCACAAAAAATAAATAAATATCAGAAAATTATAATTTCACCACTGAGGTCTTAGTTAGTCCATGAGTAAGAGGTCAGTGAAGTTTCATGACCTTTTGAATTGAAATTAAAGAGTTATAGGGGTGTAAGCCGCAGGGGTATAATGGTAATTTTAGAATTTTACACTGAAACCTAATTTTTAGGGTAAATTAGAGGGGAGGGAATTGTAACTCTTAAATGACTGAAACAGAAAGGGTAAATAGGGTAGCAACTCTTTCACATATTTTCTACCAAAGGGTAAAATTGTAATTATTTGAATTGTTGTGAATTGTAAGAAATGAAAATTTGAATGATTCAAAAGTGAGGGGAGAGCATTGAAAGACTAACTAATCACTGATTTAGACCCCTAGCCAATGGTTAAACAAATTCAATCATTTGATACAAATTAAATGCACTTCATGCAACTTTTCAAAATTTACAAGTTTAGCCCTAAACCCTAAGAGCTTGGTAGTGAATTAGGTTTGATCTAAATATACTTGATAAATAGTTAAAGAGGAAAATAAAAGTGAGCATAATTGAACATGAAACATCTGAATACACTACAAGCTCAAACCTAACCGGAAGGTAAGTGATGCGTGTTAGGAAATTTGCGGCGGTAGAATAATAGAGTATTGCTTAGCGTTGAACGAGGATTCAACACAAACTCATATGAAACATAAATAACCTGTGATGACACCAGAAGTTACCAGAAGTTTTTACGTAACGTAGAAAACTCGTAAAGGGAAAAAACCACGGGGTCTGGCCCAGTTATAAAAATACACTATAAGTTGACGATTACAGAGGACCCTTGTCCCACAGACGGCGAATGGTTATTAGATTTTCGAAGTTACAACGTCGACTGAAGACGTCTGGTCAGCGGTGGTCGGTGGTGAACGACGGTAGTTGACAGAGGTCGGCATTGGTCGCTGACGTTCAGTGGTAGTCGACGACGATCGACGATGACAAGAATTATATTGGATTTGAGCTCCTTTTCCTCAAGTTTTCTCCAGCCTCCCCCCTCATTTAAGGGGTGTGGCTCTATTTATAGTGTTTTGGGTACAATTAATACAGGAGTATGAACAATTTTGATCGGATTGTCCGGAGAGCTTCTCTTGATCGGATAGAGTTTGATGGGCATTTGAGTGTCTTAAAGATATTGAAATTGAGCAATCTAGGGCTTGTTGGATTCGTCTTGCCGAGACGCTCGATTC